CAGGCAGTGGCTAAGCGGTCCGAAAGGCGCATAGCAATGAGGTACAGGGTAGCACAGAACGACGGGGGGAAGGCAATGAGCTGGGCGGCAGTGCTAGCGGCGCAGTAGCTACAGTGACGGAAATAAATGGGCTTATAAATCAACTGCAGTACATAAACTTTGGTATTCTGGCATTATATGTTGTCAAAACCCAACCACAACATAATACATACTGTGCCTCTTGACCTGAGTTTCTCAATGCACTCGGGTGTTGTAACTTATATCGAGTTTATTGTAAAGAGTACAATAATAAGCGCTCGTTACTCGATGCGGACACTTTAGGCCAACATCGAGCCCAGATCTATATCCTGCCTGCATTACGCGTCCTCGCAACCAACGCTTCCTTTTTTTGCTCGATAGTACAGCGGCAACTACGCCAAGCCCCCAGCGACGATGCGACCGCTTCTTTCGAGCCAGAAAGATAGGATCGCGACACTGCTTCGGCAGGGCCAGAGTCTTCGTCAAATCGCTAAAGCATTAGGAATAGGGAAAAGCACGGTACAGAAATACGCACGCGAACCCTCCCAGCGCATGAGCAGCCTCGCGGTCAAGCCGATTGTTCCTAGGAACGGCCGACCGTGCGTACTCTCGGTTCATGATAGGCGCTCACTGGTGCGAGCTGTCACTTCTGGCCATGTGAAGAGTAGCATAGAAGCCGCGAAACTTCTAGAATCAGAGTGCGGCATCAAGATATGCCCTAGAACCGTGCGCAATGCCCTGAAGAACTCCGGTTTAGTAGCCGTGCAGAAACCGAAGAAGCCACGACGATCTGCCCGAAACATCAAAGACCGCCTCGACTTCGCCAAGGCGCACGTTGACTGGACCATTGAAGACTGGAAGCGGGTGATCTGGTCCGACGAGACCAAAATCAACCGCTTGTCCAGTGATGGCCGCAAGTACGCATGGATTCGCGACGGGGCGGCCCTGCAAGGTCATCAGATTCAACAAACCGTCAAGCATGGGGGCGGGTCATTGATGGTGTGGGGGTGCATGACTTATGATGGCCCGGGGTATATGTGCAAGATTGACGGCAGCATGGATGGGGAGCTGTAAAGGAGTATATTGCATGATGAGCTTGCTCAAACTATCGAATTCTATAGTCTAACCCCCTCGGATGTCATTTTTCAGCATGAAAACGACCCCAAGCATAAGAGCCGCCTTGTGCAAGCGTGGCTAGCTGACCATCCGTATGCGGTCCTCAAGTGGCCCTCCTCCTCCCCTGATCTCAATCCCATAGAGCACCTGTGGGCACACCTCAAAAGGGAGCTCGCCAAGTATGAGCACCCCCCCACGGGGATGCTCCAGACTTGGGAGCGGGTGGAAGAGACATGGGATGGGATTGGGGCGGATGTGTGCAGGGGCCTCATCAACAGCATGCCTAGGAGGGTGAAGGCAGTGGTTAGGGCTAAGGGGAGGTGGACTAGGTACTGATTTTGAAATGTTGAACACTTTCTTCAAATCTGGCCAAAAGTGTCCGAATAGGACTTGGTGAATGTGGTTGTTGGTTTGGCATTATAAACAAGCCCTTTCAGGCTGCATGACATGTGCTCCTCTTGCTCAGGAGGCACTACACTAGTATATTAAATAACCCTATTTTTAAAACTTTGTATAAGAAATACACACACTTTTTAACCTCTCAAAGGGTCAACATATGGACACTTTCTTCCGTCACTGTAGCCTCTAGTGCATGGAGGTGAGTGTCTAGGTCAGCTACAGTTGGGAACGCGGCAAGAACAGGGAACATCATAGGGAGTATTAGGCGGCCAGCAGAGGCGGAGGCGGGCGTGGAGTAGCGTGCAACTACGGCCTCTAAGAAGTCCTGGGCGTTGGCTACAGCAGTGAAGCACAGACGCTCAGACAGGGGAAGAGCATGACTAATGGCGAGCTGCGCAACTGCATCGCGGGAATCCCAGACAGCGCGAGCAAGCGCAGCAGCATAATAGGCCTCACGCTAAGCAGTGGTGGGGTCATCAGGGAGGAGATCAGGCGTGGGGGGGCGGGAAAGCAAGCCATCAACATGCACATCCAGGGAGTGCCCATCCTAGAGCTGACCTGTGAGGTGACGGCGGAGATCGACAAGCCAGTCGGCGAAGTCGATCGCGTGCCCCTCCGCGTCCAGGCGAAGTACATAGTCCGCCATTGTGCGACCTCAGGGACATAGCTCAACGGCGGCACGGCGGCACAGCGACACAGCGGCACAGCTACACAGCGGCACGGTGATACAGCGACACAGCTACACAGCGGCACAGCGGCTCGACGGCAGTACTCCCGGGCAGGAAGACCGAGCGGAAAGCCGAGCAGGGCTTACAGGGCCGGCAGGACATCACGGGGTCTATGAGGGGTCACGGCCGAGCCCCTCATTTGGATGGTCCTCTTCCAATCTAATGTTTTCCCTAGCTGCTGCTCCCAGGACTTCTCCTTTGACGCGAGGCATACTGGCGTTACAGCTGCTCTGAGACTACGAAGTGGCGCTGGTCTCCCCTCCTCTACCAGCGGAGAGGCAAGTAGCCTCATCTCTGGCAGCCCCACCTCTCCAATGAGCACATCTCCCTTGATCAGCATCGGCACTATCTCCGTCAGGCTGAGCGTCATCGACCAACGAGTCATCCCCGCGGACTATTCTGTTCTCCTAATCCACCTCCACTCTGCTGCAGAGAAGACTTCCCCCCTCCTTTCCTTCTATCTACCATAGGTGGTTACCTCTCGGACCCCTTGTCATAACTATCGAAGTGGTGGCTCGGATCTCCTCAATTGTGAGTGGCCTTAGCAGTCTCTCTTTCCACTGCACCGGTGCTGCTTCAAATTCCTTCATTGCTACCCCTGCTATTCTGCGAATGCCCAATTGCCTTGACACCTCCTCTGTCGTTTTCCTGTGCACCTCCCCTTCTGAGTCTCTCTTTATTAAGTCTCCCAACTTCATCTGGTACAGGCTCGCCAGACCCTTTTGGTTTCCAAAGGGGCTGCCGCCTTTAAACATTATATGTTTGTTGAAGCGCAGTCTCTCATGTTCCACCTCCCACCTTGACGCAGCTACCGGGATCACCGCTAGATGTGACGAGGCGAAGACTTGAGTTATGCGCTTCCATCTGTTGCTCCCTCTTTTCCAGTGTTTGAATAGAGACTGATGAGCATATAAGGAGGCGAAACCCAGTGGAAGCTCTGCTGCTTGCTCCGTTATCCAGCGCTTGATAGGGTCCTTCTCCAGCAGCGGTCATGCGACAGTTCTTAACGCCCTGATGTTGACCCGCACTTTTGGGTCCAAAACCCCCAGCCCGCCTTCTAGTGTAGGCCTGTTCAACTTTTGGGTCCACAACACATGGGCGTTATATTTTTCCGGGCCACTGTTAACACTCACTCATTTTTTTAGTGAATTTTTATATCCACCATATGGTGTTATATACAGGGGATTACTGTATATTGTATTCTCCTTTTTATTGTCATTCAATCGTTCACAGTTTCGCCATTGCACTCCGCGCTACTCGGCAGTTCCATTCATAACAGACCAGCCCTGGGCCTTTTTTGTGTAGTTCCTGACTAAAGGTGGAACCCGACTGATGAATCATGTTGCGAACACGCTAATTCTGATTGTGTATATCGTGCCACTGAGCGTTCATGTTATCGAAGCCCCTTATACAGAGCACCGATATACTTTCCCTATTTTTTGTGCTGTGCAGAGATTGAAGAATGTACTGTATTGTGACGCATCCAGCTGAGGGGAGGGAGGGGGGGGGGGGGGACAAAATGGAGGAAGGTTTGGGGTGGAGGGACGCCCCTCCCGCCTATTTGGCTCGGGGGTTTGGTTTTGTCGGTCTTCTTCTTTCAACAAATATGAGGTCGACGTTGGTTACAGCCAATGGTTCGGTGACACAGCTCTGGCTCGCGGCCCGAACCGAATCTTGGAGATCTGCTGTTTGCTGTGCGCTTCGCAGAGGCACAAGTTCCGTGCCTGGGAGCTTGGAGGAACAGAGCCCGTTTTATCGGCCCGCTTGCAGGACAAGCTCCGGCACCGGCACCTGTTTGGCAAAACCCGAGCGTGGTTTGGTTTGGACCCGCTTTCTCGCGCTTCGGGGCGATTGTCCAGGTTCCACGGTGTCGGTGATACTGTACAGTATGCGATGTAGCCTGCCTCCCAGAGCACCCCAGTACCGTACCGCTACCGAGCTGTGATACACATGATGTCCACCGTATGTTCTGCCCGTAGCCGTTCGCAATTGGTTTAGCCTGCTCAGTTGTCATGTTTTACGAGCAGTATCCGTTTCATCAGAGTACCAAATATGCCACGTGGAACAATTTGATTGAGCTTGGAACGAGGCGACCATACAGATGCATGTACTTTTTGACCAGAATTCTGACTTTTGAAATATATTGTTACAAAATGCCCATTTGCGACCCATTTGCCCGTGGCGAACCATGCGAAATTACGAATTTGATAGTGGTTTTCGCAAATAGGCGAAGTGGTGAGCGTACGGTGAACATCATATGTACTGTTCTGCATTGGGAACCAGGGATTACTTTTGGTTTTAGGTCTCCCTTACAGATTCGGGTTCATCAGAGCCAAACCCTTAATTTCAGGGTTCGGTTATCCTCGCCCCTAGGCATACAGGAGCCAGGATTTTCTCATACTAGATTCGCTTGAGTTAAGCGATTTCGCAATAGTGGAAATGGGAAGGGCTGGCGAAAGATAGGTCCCACATCCTCGCTACCTTACTGCTTGCACATTCGGGGTAGTAGAGCCATCACTCGAAATCTGAAGGGCTCGGCTAGGCACTACCCTTAATGTCCTGGGTTCCAGAAAATCGGGTCTTAAGTCTCCGGGTTGTCCTGTAAAATGCCCTATATCGGCTCAAATTCAGGGCAGTAACCCTCGAAACATTAGCCTTGTTGGGAACCGTCGTCCATTCTCTAGGGTCTTGATGACTTGACTCAGCTCCAGTCCCCCTACCCCACTCCCAAGCAGATTAGGGTTTTTTCTCTCCCTCTCCTACCACTCACCTCGTCACCTATGTTGTCACAGGACACACCTTAGCCATCCTCGTCCTCCCGTCTTGGGATTTCGACGTGGTAGTGCAAGACTGTCCTCCTCGACGTCCCGCGCGCGAGAGTTCGCGAGAGTTATTCGCTTCGTGTCAAAGCAATACCGTCGAATTGCGTCAATCCATCTGCTGGAAAATCTAGTTGACACCAAGGCCACGTCAATCAGAGTCACCCTAAATTTCAGAAGATGGCTGATCACAAGCGCTTCGCAGGAAGTTCCTACTTAATCCCCGGCAAGCGGCGCCGTCCCCGTTCGTCGCCCACGTTCCGTCTGTCGGCGTCGGTCCTCCTGCTCGTCGCGGCCTTTGCGGCACTCTCCCTCCACACGAGCACGGCTGAAGACACGGCCGTGCCGTTCAACGCCGATCAACGTGAGACCCGTCGCCACCTAAAAAAAGTAACCTTTTTGGGGCTCCGTTGGCCTTAGAAGCCTTAGCCTCGCCTTTGTTGCTGCACAGACAACTCAAAAGCTTCGGGACTCCCGTTGTTCATCCCCCTCATCCCCCCACGGCAACTTCGATGGCTCCTCCTGTACGGCCATTTGCCAGATGATATTCCCTCACAGGTCTCGCTGAATCGTCCAGAACCACTCCCGCCTTCCCCCGTCCACCTTCCGCCTTCCGCCTTGCGCCTTGCGCCTTCCCCTTTCCCTCCCGGCAGTGGCGGCGCTGGACGCGCTGAAGGCGGAGTGGGGCGCGTTCGCGACGAGCACGACGTGGACCACCACGGCGCAGTGCCTCATCTACCCCAAGTCGCCCAAGGTCGAGGTGCGCGCGGGACTCAACTGCGACGCCGACGGAAACGTCATCCGCCTGTGAGTGGGAGGGAAGGGGGGGGAGGGGGTGGGGTTTCGGGAGGGCGGGTGGTTGGAGAGGGTGGGAGTGGAGATGGAGAGTCTATTTCTGAGGTGCCTCAAAACTAGACTCTTCACGCTGGGGACTCAACTACTATGCCGCCGGAAACGTAACCCGCCTGTGAGTAGGGGGATAGGGTGGGGAGTGCGGGTGGTTGAAGGGGGATGGATGGGGATGGGGGGAGGTGAGGGAGGGCCGAGTGGGATTTGCTTTTTTGGGTGGCGGAGAGCGGAGGGCGCAGGGCGGAGAGACGAGGACGAAGACGGCGTATGCATTCGTTTGTTTATTGTGTCAGCCCGTTCGTTTCTGCCCACCTTGTGATAATGTATCTCTCCGCTCTCCTTCCCCCCGTTCCTCTTGTCAGAAGCATCTTCTGGTTCTAGCTGTTCAATCGCCTTTTCCCGCCTGCTCTCACCCTCCCTCCCCCCTCTTCTCCACTACTTCCCGCCCGTCCACCACCTTACTCACCTCCCGAATATCTGATCCCTCCTCTTTTTCCCCCCCTCCTCCCTTCCTCTGGTCTTTGCCCCGTCTCCATCCCCCGGCCCCCCAACCAACCCCCGTTCCCCCCCCCACAAAGCAGCGACTTGCATGGGCTGGGGTGCACCGGATCCTTCCCCACCAGCATCACCAAGCTAACCGCGCTCACCATGCTGTCAGTGCCACCTGCCCCCTGCCACCTGCCCCCTGTCCCCGCTGCTGTTACCACTGCTGCTCACAAGCTTTCAATTCGCATGCGCCTTCATTCACCATGCCATACCATACCATACCATACCATACCATACCATGCCATGCCATGCCAGATCATACCATACCAGCCATGCCATGCCATATCATGCCATGCCATGCCATACCATACCATACCATACCATACCATACCATACCATACCATACCATACCATACCATGCCATGCCATGCCATACCATACCCTCACAGTGCTTGAGTTGCAGCGTTCAATCTCATGCCTTACTATCTCATGGCATCCTGTGCTCTGCCATGCCATGCCGTGCCATATCACGCACTGCTGCGCTATGGCGCTATGAGCCTCAATCGGAACTGCTCCTGTCTATGTTCCGTGTGCATGTGTGCATGTGTGTGTGTGTGTGTGTGTGTGTGTGTGTGTGTGTGTGTGTGTGTGTGTGTGTGTGTGTGTGTGTGTGTGTGTGCGTGCGTGTGTGTGTGCATGTGTTCGTGTGTGTGCGCGCGCGCGTGCCGCATGTGCATGCATGCAGGGATCTGAGTTTCAACAAGATAGCGGGCCCCATCCCTGATTTCCTATCCACTCTTGATAAACTTGTGTTCCTGTGAGGCCCCTTCCTTCTCACCTCTGAGGCTCCTTCCACCTCGCCTCACCTCACCTCCCGTCCCCTTACTCCTGTCGCTCGCACCATTCTGCCGCTCACTCGTATTGTTTCTGCTCTCCGCTTGTTCTCTCTGCATGGGCTGGTTCCAGAATGACGTCAATCGAGGCTTGTCGTTCTACGATTGCACACTCATGCCACTGTGTGCGTGTGTGCGTGCGCGCATGCGTGTGTGTGTGCATGTGCCCGTGTGTCCTTGTCTGTAGTACCAGTGTGTGTGTCCACTTGAGCAATACGCCTATTTGCATGTGTGTGTGTGTGTGTGTGTGTGTGTGTGTGTGTGTGTGTCCTTGCTGCGATGCCCCGTCTCCCGCGGCCAGGAGTCTCAACTACGTGCCGCTAACGGGCTCCCTGCCATCAGTCCTCTCCACCATGCGCTCGCTCAACTACCTGTACGCGTGCTGCTGCTCATAACCCTCCCCTGCTTGCTTTTCGTGGTGCTGGTGATACCTGTACGCGCGCTGCTGCTCGTGCACTGCTGCTCATAACCCTCCCCTGTTCGCTTTTCGTGGTGGTGGTGGGTGGTAGGTGGTGCCAATACTGCTGTTCCACGTTTCTTTACTCTCGTGTTTGCATCCTGCTCCCCCCCCGCCCTGTCCCCCGTTCCCCCGCCTTTCCTCTGTGCTCTCCTCAGTCCTCTCTGTCCGCATTTTACGCATTCCTCTCTCCTTTTCACCTGAAAACTCGTCTCCCTCACTGCACTGCAACCCCCCCCCCCCTCCCCTCCCTCCCAACCCCCCTGGTCTCACCCCCTCCCTCCTGGTGCAGGGGAGTGTCCAACGCACAGATAGTGGGTCCCATTCCAGCGGCATTCAAGAGCTTCAAGTCCCTGGAAACACTGTACGACACGCCCACCCTCTCTGTCATCGCTCCCCTTCTGTCATCCCACCCCTTCTGCCATCCCACCGTCCCTTCTTCCTCCACTTCAACCCTTTCCTGCGGAAAGTAGCAGTCAGCCACGCTTTCCCCCACTGTGCACCGCGCCCCTTTGCAATCTTCCTTGCTGCCCATTCTCCCCTGCCTTCTGCCGCTCCTTCCACTCTCCTCCTCAGTTCGTCCTCCTTCACCTTCCCCTCTCTCTCCCACCATCACACAGTCCCACCATCGCTCACTGTCATGCCGCCATCCCTCACTCGCATCCCCCCATTCACCCCTTCACCCCTTCCCCCCTTCCCCCATCCCCCGCTCTTGTTTTCTCTGTTTGGCGCTTAGAGGTGCCCTCAGTTCCCCCACCGACCCTTGTCTTCCCCACTTTCCCTTCCCCCCTACCTCTGTGTCCTCCCCGCCCCGCTGCCTCGGCCTGCAGTGCGCTGTCCAACAACCAGATGACAGGCGCTTAAGGGTGCCCTCAGTTCCCCCATCGACCCCTGCTTTCCCCGCTTCCCCTTTCCCCCGCCCTCTCTCTCCCCGCCAGTTGCCTTGCCCTGCAGTGTGCTGTCTATCAGCCGGACGACAGGCCCTCTGGGATCTCTTCCCTTTGTGTCGACTCAAAAGCAGCCCCCCTCCCCCCCGTCCCCCCCCCACCCCCCCCTCGCCCCGTGCGGCGTCCTGCAGTGTGCTGTCCAACAACCAGATGACGGGCCCCCTGGGATCGCTACCCTACATGACGCGCCTCAGGGACGCGTGAGTGGCCCCCTCGCCTCTTGCTTCCACTCTCCTTCCGTCTTACTTCCGTCCTCCTTCCTTCCTGCTTCCGTTCGAAAGATCTCTATACTCTGAGGTGGCTCTTGAGCCGCTATAAACTAATTTTCACAGGATACTCCTCCCTCCCTCCCTCCCTCGTCCTTCCCCCCCTCCCCCTCTCCTCCCTCCCCCCATTCCAACCCCCTGTGACCTTTCTCTCTCGCAGCTACCTTTCCAATAATGCCTTCTCGGGCGCGCTACCACCAGCGCTGGGCAACGTCGTCTCACTGCGCAACATGTAAGCCTCTCATTCCTCTCACTCCTCTCATTCCTCTCACTCCTCTCACTCTTATTCCTCACTCCTCTCACTCCTCTCACTCCCCTCATTCCTCTCACTCCCTCTCACCTTGCTGTTTCCTCGCTCCTAGTCGCTCACTCGCACACAGCCTGCCGCTATTATGCAACTCACAGTGCGAGCGTCAATGCTGTTACTCCTGGCGCTCCCTTACTCTGCCATGTTCATGTTTTGCTCTTGCGTTTGCTTTTGCTTCTCTGCTCTTCTCTTGCTTCCTTCCTTCGGCCTTAGCTTTCCAGAGCTCGCTGCCATCCGCTGCTTTTGCCATTTCTGCTCCAACTTCCCCCCCCCCTCTTTCCTCCCGTACTCCCCCTCCCCCCCCCCCCCCTTCCCTCTCTCCCCTCTGTTCTCACAGAAACCTGCGTGTGAACAGGCTTTCTGGCGGCGTGCTTTTGAGAATTCTAAAAAACTCCCGTATTCCCCCCCCCCCCTCCTTCCCTTCCCTCTCCCCTCTGTGCTCGCAGAGACCTAAGTGTGAACAAGCTATCTGGCGGCATACCAGCAGCATACTCCAAGCTCAAGAACCTCGATTCATTGTCAGTGAAACGACCTCCACACACCCCTCCCCTCCCCTCTCTCCCTTCCTCCCTCCCGCCTCCTCTCCGTCTCTTCCTCCCTGCAACGCACTCATTGCAAAGCCATGCGTCGACCTAATCCGCGTTTGCACTATTTTCTGTTTCTTACACTCACTCTTTTCCGCTTACCATGGGCAACGCTCCTTACTATGCAGTGGGCAGTCTGCTGAGTTTCAGCTATGTAGAACAGGCTGCAGCCTGGTGTTTCTTGCCTTGCAGCAGGATGCTGTCGCATTGCCATGCCACATCCAGATTCGCATTTTCTCTTGTGTGCTTGTGTGTGCATGCATGTGCATGTGCATATATGCTCATGGTTGTGGGCCCTTTTTAATCAAATTTTTATGCCCATTGACGCATCTTGCAGTAACATCAGTGGTAACCTGATTACAGGCAGCATTCCCAATGTCTTCACCGGCAGAAACATCTGGGCTCTGTACGTGCCATGCCATGCCATGCCATACCATGCCACTCTGTTCGATGCCATGCAATGCCATTTCATGCCATACCATGCCTCGCTGTATGTAATCCCACCACAGCCCCTCATAACCGATCAGGATGCCTTTTTGTTTGTCCTTGTACTCTCAGTATATTCGGATTCTTTATGGCCATCCATCTGCAGCACTATTGTGGTGTATCCACCAAACCATCCGCCCACTATCTGCCCCCCTCCACACCTTCCCCCTCCTGCCCGACTCTCTCCCCCTCTCCTCCCCTCCATGATTTCTCACCCCCCTCCTCCTCCTCCCCCTTCCCCCCCCCCCCCCGCCCCCTGCCGCCCTCCCCCGCTTCTGCCTTAATGATTATTCCCCTCACACCCCGTTCAGTGACCTATCTGCCAACACACTGACAGGATCCCTGCCCAAATCCATTGCCAACCTACCTGGAGTCCAGATACTGTAACTTCACCTACCATCACCTCTCATTTCCCCCCCCTTAGACCCGGCTTTAAGTACTCCTTATTTCCCATAGCTTTCTTCATGGCAGTTCTTGTTCTTCCTACTCTCCGTTAGTCGCCTCCCCCCCCCGTTCATCGCCCCCACTGCCTTGAATTTCGCCCCAATCCTGTGTCGTTAAAACAAACCGCTCACACCATCTCAACACCCCCCCACCCCTCCCCACCTGCCGCACCCTCCTCTCAGCTCACTCTCCTTCACCACCCTCACCATCCTCACCACTACTACCCTCTCCCTCCCTTTCCAGGAATGCGCACACCAACTCGCTCACAGGCAAGCTCCCCACATTCAAGTCCCGCCATCTCGCCGGTCTAAATGTCGCGAACAATTTCTTCTACGGCCCGGGCAAGGTGACGAGGCTATCGGCGGGGTCGGTGTGCATCGCCAACATGCCGTACGGCGGCAAAGGGGAGGGGAATTGCTTTATGCCGTCCTCGTCGTGCCTAGAGCCCCAGAAGGTGTCGGTGGCGTGCTCGAAATTTTGCGGGACGAACATGGTGACGGGGTCGGGCCAGTGCAAGAATAAGGGGGTGTGCATTGGCCGCCCCAGGCCGCACTGCACGTGCAAGTACAAGTGGCCGTTGTCAGCCATGTTTTGCCGCCAGTTGATGTGAAGGTTTCGTAGATGTTAGGGTCTGCTGCGGATGTCTGGGTGTGGGTGTTAGATATTCTGCACGGTGCGTTGTGTTGGAAATACCTCTGTTGGGCTGAGAAAAGCCCTTAGGATCTTTTGCAGAGACTAAGTCCCAGCTGTAGAGACTTGAGACTTGGAGTAGTGCAGCGGAAGTTGAGGCAGTTGAACCCTTGTACTAGTATGTGAGAACAAGTGATTGATTAAAGAAACAAGCATACAGCAATATATAGAAGATAAGGAAGCAGTTGTAGAATACAGTTACAGGAACGGTTTATCGAGTCGCACAGCGACTCGATTGCCGCTTCGGTTACCATCCGTGATGTTGTAACGGTCAGTCGCAACCTCCAGTTGCGACCTTTCGAGTCCTTTCGCATTCTTTGTCCGCCCCCTCGTGTAACCTCCGTTGACTCGCGTGCTCCCCTGTAATCTTCCTCGAGTACAGTGTTACACTTCAGAAACGCTTAAGTCCTTGAGATATTTCCAACACTCCCCTTCGTTTCTGGAGTGCTGGAGTGTTCAGATCCGGTGACGTTTGTTTGCCCGGTTAGGAGCATGCAGTAGTCGAATTTTGCTTTCGCCAATTTCTTCGTCAGATAATCTGCGGCCATTTCTGTCGTCGGGCAGTAACTGAGTTGAAGTCTCCCCTTCGCGATTTCATCCTTGACGAAGAAGTACCGCAGGGCGATGTGCTTGGTTCGGTTGGCGAAGCCGTCCTTGTTCGCGATTTTTATCGCAGATTGGTTGTCGCAGAGGAGTGAGAAGGTGGGCAGGGTCGCGATCTTCGCTTCTTCGAGTAACTCTCGTAGGTAGAGTCCTTCCTTGGTCGCAGTACAAAGGGCGATATACTCTGCTTCAGCCGAGGATAGTGCGATTAACTCCTGCTTGCTCGACTGCCAGGAGATAGTTCCGATAGGTTCTAGTCGGTAGATGTAGCCCGTCCTAGACCGTCGATTTTCGCTGTCTCCCGCGTGGTCGGCGTCGACGTATCCGAGTAGTCGTACGGACGGTGTTGTTGCCTTGCTGTAGGTGAGCCCGATCGTCGGCGTGGAGACGAAGTAGAGTAGCGCTCGATTGAGTTCTTCGAGATCTTCCTGTTGCGGCTGCTTCAGATGTGTCGCCAGCTGGCTCGCACTATAGGATAGGTCGGGTCGGCAGGTTACTGTTGCGAATAGTAGACAGCCGAGCTTCTGTTGATACTCCTGGATTTGTTTCGCGGGGAGTTTTGTGGAGGCGCTACTGTTGTTCCCGTAGCGGTAGGGAGTTGGGACCGCAGTCGGTGTTAGACCGAATTTCTTCGCGACGGTGCTTGAGTACTTTCCAGCGTGTAGGTAGAACGCCGTGTCGTCTTCGACGACGTTCAGTCCTAGGTACTGCGTCACCTCGTCGGACACCGTGAGCGTCAGGTCCCTTTTCAGCTCCCCTTCGAACCAGGTGACGATGTCGGTGGTAGAACCGATGTAGAGCAGGTCGTCGACGTAGACGATGAGCAGAATGTAATCTCTTCCCTTCTGTAGTCGGTACATGCCTTGGTCATGTGGTAGCTGTAGGAATCCGATTTTTACGAGCCGGCCGTGAAGGTGCTGCTGCCAGAGCCGTGGGGCTTGCTTGATCCCGTAAAGGGATTTTTCCAGCTGGCATACTTTTGAAGGGTCGTCGATGAATCCGTGGGGTTGTTCGACGAAGATTTCGGCGTCCACAGGTGCGTACAAGAAGGCGTTTGCAACGTCGATTTGCCGTAGTGGTAGTTTCTTCGTGGCCGCGATGGCGAGTAGGATGCGCAGAGAGGTGTGACGGGAGACTGGAGCGAAGGTTTCTGTGTAGTCGGTTCCGTATCGTTGATCGAAGCCTCGTACGACCCATCGAGCTTTGAATCGTTCGATGGAGCCGTCTGAGTTGGTCTTGATGCGGTACACCCATTTTCCCGAGAGAATGTTCTTCCCGTTGATGCTCGTTGCAGGTACCAGTTTCCATGTTTCTCGGTCTTGCAGAGCTTTTAACTCTTTTTCCATCGCTTCCTTCCATTGTGCCTTATGTTCCCCCCCCAGAGCCTGCGACAGGGTCGACGGCTCGCGCGGAGAAGGCGGCGGCGGGTGCTGGACGGAGACCCATAGTCCTAGGATCTGCAGTCCCGTGGCTGTGTGTCGAGGGGAGTTTTCATTCTCGGGATAAGCTGCTTCATCACCGTCTTCAGGATCGGGTAAGAAGTTTGGCCCGATGCGTTCGGAAATATTCGAGTCGACGGGGTGTGGTGTAGCGTAGCCTTGGTCAGCGAAGTGGTAAAAGGTGTCGAGGTTGTTGCTATCGAGAGGATTATCTTCATCGAGTGGAACAGGTACGGAGCAGTAGGGGAGTGGTCCGGCAGCCTCCGAGGCTCCAGGGACGTCTTCTTCTGCTGCGTCAGCCTCGGCACCATGGTCAGCGAAGGAGCGAAGGCCCGCGAAGCCGTCGGTGGGGTCGTCTGAGTTGGCAATGTTGTCCAGGTAATGCTGCAGCGTCAGTCGCTCGTAGAAGATAACATCACGTGATGCCACCGTATTTTTGTCGTGTATGTCGAGAATCTTCCACGCGTGAAAATGTTTGGCGATGCCGAGGTGTAGTCCCCACCGAGCTCGTTGAGTGAAGCGTCCTGCTCGAGCTGTGTGGGGTCTGTATTGTACCATGCAGCCGAAAACTCGAAGTAATTTTGTGCTGCCCCTTTTTCCCGTCCACAGCAGGTGCGGTGATGCGTTGTTGGGGAGCGATGACGAGGACAACAGGTTGTGCAGGTGGACTGCATGTGTCATCGCGTCTGGCCACAGTGTATTGGGCAGCCTCATCCCCAGAAGCAGTTTTCGCATCGTCGTCTGCAAGGTCCGGTTCATGCGTTCTGCTACCCCCTGCTGCTGGTGAGCATAGGGCAGAGACACCAGGCGTCGGATTCCCCTTTCCGCGAGATAGGTCCTGAAGCGTTGTGACTGGTATTCCAGTGCACCGTCTGACTGGAAACTCTTGAGTTTGGTTCCTGACTCTCGTTCGGCGATTGGAAGCCATGTGGTGAAGGCCTCGAAGGCTTGATCGCGCGTTTTGAGATTGAAGTGCCAGACGTATCTGGTTGCGGCGTCGATGAACGTGATGACGTAGTTGAAGTCGGCTTCGGTGTCGTCTCGAGGCATGTTTAGAATATCGCTGTAGACCTTTTCCATCGGAGCGTAAGTGGGTGCGCTTGGATTGTGATGGGCTGGGAAAGGTTGATGAGGAAGATCTGCTTCGGGGCACGTGAAGCATCGTGCTCTTGGTCGGCGAAGTTCTTGGCCGCTCGTCGTTAGAAGGGCGTTACGTTCTAACACCTCTGCTTGTATTGTTTGTAGTATCGTGCTGTTTGCAGGATGTCCGAGACGTTGGTGCCAGATGTCGTCGGGAGCGCGGTGACCGGGCGAGCGGTGGTAGATGTCGGCGTTGGAGAAGAACGCGACGACCGAGGCGGGACTTCGACAAGCTTCTCGTGTGGCGGGCATAAGTTGGTCTGCTTCCGTTGGCGGTCCTCGTGTTGATGGTGGTGGTACTCGGCTGGGTCCTGCTGCCGATACTGCAGGTGATGGTTTTGTTGGGACGCTTGCTGGTACTTGTCTTTCTTGTCTGATAACTGCTAATGCCCGTGTTCTCTCTGCTGCAGGTATGGTGTTGGAGTGCCAGAAGCCGTCACTGTCGAAGTCGGGATCAAGATCTGGTGGGTGAGTCCAGGCGGCGAACGATACGATGCCATCGCTGTCGGCAGTTCCGCGGTCGGGGACGAAGTCCAACACGAAGACACCGGACTTCAGGAGGGCACGACCGATGAAGAGACCGCCCTTCCCGTGGTAAAGTCGGAACTCGTTGGAGAAGGAGTCGCACTCCAGGTGAATCCCCTTAGCCATTAGTTGGCTTACGCTTAGTAGGTTGTATCCCAGATTGTCGACGATGAGGACTTTGTTGAGCTGAAGAATAACGTTTGTCTCCATTGATTGTAACTGAACCACGCTTTGCCTGTTTGTTTTCAGGTTTTCGTTGTTGGCGACGGTGATGACGACGTCGCGGTTGAGGCGTCGCTCGTGTTGTACGAAGCGTCCGGAGGAGCACATGTGCTGACCGCAGCAACTGTCCAAGAACCAGGTGTTCCGCCCGGTGGGTTCGGCGTTAGCGACTGCAGCGTATGTCGGGTTGACCTGAAGTCCTTGCGAGCGCGGCGGCGGGAATTCCTCTTCGTCTGGTGCGTAAGTGGGTGGTGAAGCGGGTGCGCAGTTGTCGATGTGTACCATGCAGTTGATGATGTTGGGTGTTTGTTGTGCAGATGTTGAAGAGCGCCTTGGAGGACTTGCTTGAGTGGAAGCGACTTGTGGGTCTGCTGCACGGTAAACGCGAGGGCGGTTGCAGTTGACCTTGGAGTGCCCGGAAGTCTGACAGTTGTGGCAGAACGGCGGCACGATGGTGAGTCCTCGGTTGTCGCGTTGATCTTGCTTGCTGCGTCGGTTGTAGTTGTTGTCATTTCTTCTTTGAGTGTAGAAGACTAACTGCTGTTGCTTCCTTGGTTGTCTTTCCTCGAACAGATCCATCTCCTGTTGTTCAGCGTGAAGCTCGGCGCAGAGGTGCATCTCCGAAATTCTTCCGTGGGCTCGAAGAAGTGATCGTGTGGTTCTCCATTCTGGCCCGAGCCCGGCGAGGACAAGTGTCACGAAGCTTTCTTCAGTGATCGTTCCTCCGCACCGAAGCAGGCGGTCGCGGAGGGTCTGGCAGCGACTCATATACTGCATCGCCTTTTCCCCGGTCTTCATCTGTATTGTTGTCAGCTGTTGCATGAGTCTGCTTTGTGTCACGCTGTCGTTTGCTTGGTAAAGGCATTTGAGGTGGTGCCATGCGAGCTCCGCGGAGTTTCCATAACTCCGATACGTTCTGATGCTCTGCTGCTCTTGTGGTGACAGGTTTCTCAGGAGTACCGTGTACGCCAGCAGCGACTGATACGTGAAGATCTCTTGTTCCTTCCCAGTGCCGTTGCTTGGGAATGGCAGGGACCCGTTGAAGTATCCCAGAAGATGCGCGGCCTCCATCAGCAGCTCAAACTCGAAGCTCCAGGTAAAGAAGTCGTGTCCGTTGAACGGTGAGGATGTCTGAAGTTTGATCACGTGTGAGAACTGCGCCTGTAAACTTAAGATTTCATTCGGTGTTTGTTGTGAAGCAGCTGCTGTTGGCTGGGCACGGGGCGGCATGAATTCGAACGTCCCCGGCGAAGAATGATAAGGCGCAAAGGTAGGCGCTTGGTTGTGTCGCCCGAAGGATGAGTTGTCGAGGCTCATCGGCGCTAATCCCATATTCCCTCCATTGCTCTGTGTTGAGTGCGCAGGTGTCCTTGTCTGCTGCTGCTGGTCGAAGTGTGACATGAAGCTGAAGAATCTCTCCATGAGATTCGGGTCCACACTTGAAGAGGGAGACGGAGTCACCATCTCTGGTACTCTTCCCGTTGTTTCTTGAGTAGTCCCGGTCTCTGTCTGCAGTCCTGAGGTGTGCAGACCAGAGTTGCCGTGTTGAGTTTCTTGGGCGCTGGGTGAGCCCGTAGAGACTTTCTTGCCCTTGTTGTCCATGTCTTGTAATCAATGGAGTTGTTGAATCAAGTTGAGTTGCTGGTTGTTGATGGAGTGTAGTTGCTGGGAGTTTTGATCTCTGACCAGCTCTCATACCATGTTGGCTGAGAAAAGCCCTTAGGATCTTTTGCAGAGACTAAGTCCCAGCTGTAGAGACTTGAGACTTGGAGTAGTGCAGCGGAAGTTGAGGCAGTTGAACCCTTGTACTAGTATGTGAGAACAAGTGATTGATTAAAGAAACAAGCATACAGCAATATATAGAAGATAAGGAAGCAGTTGTAGAATACAGTTACAGGAACGGTTTATCGAGTCGCACAGCGACTCGATTGCCGCTTCGGTTACCATCCGTGATGTTGTAACGGTCAGTCGCAACCTCCAGTTGCGACCTTTCGAGTCCTTTCGCATTCTTTGTCCGCCCCCTCGTGTAACCTCCGTTGACTCGCGTGCTCCCCTGTAATCTTCCTCGAGTACAGTGTTACACTTCAGAAACGCTTAAGTCCTTGAGATATTTCCAACACTTGGGGTACTCTGAACTTCCTCTTTCTAGCATTTAGAACTTGGGGTACAGTGGTTTAGGCTTTCTGGAACCTCCAACATGAGGTGAAGTATAGGTTCAGTTGTTAGAAGGGCAACTCAACCCAATCAACCATGTGAGAACCCACACATGCTCCCCAAAAACGTTTTTACTTTACTTCCATCTGAAACTTGCGGTGTAGAGAATTTTTCCTTAGACGGTTATTGGATTCCTGTTCCCAGCCTCGAGATGATCGAGTGGAGACTTCGAGAGATCCCCTCCCCTTGCATCCTGCTGCTGCACTCACTCCAGCCAGTCACTCCCTGCGCGGCTTTCCGTCTGCCTCACAGCAGCACAGGTAGATCCGTGTCTTGCTGACTGTTGGGCAGGAGCCATAGATCGCACCTCGTTTGTGTTGCTGCACAGTGCACATTGGCCAGCACGCACGTTAGGAGCGAGGCTTCTCCCGGCCTCGTCTGCTGCCCAGTAGGGCTTGACGCCGTAATTGTCGCTCACAGTGACGATCTTTGCGATTTCCCTTTCTCGCTGAGATCGCCTTTTCATGGCGGCTTGCGGCGTGGGGAGCGCTGCGTGTGGGAGAACGCATCGAGCCCTCGGCATGACCTTCGCGCTCGCATTAGCGGCGCTTCTGCTGCTCGGCGCGCAGCCGCAACTCGCGGCGGGATTCAAGGCGCACGAGTTTAAGACGTGCGACAAAGCGCACTTCTGCAAGCGGAATCGCAATCGCGAGCCAGGCACTTCTACTCTGGTCCTACGCTCTGGCGAAATTAATCCCAGCGGGAAATTCGTCGGAATTATCCGCAACAAGGCACCTGGGAAAGGGAAAGTGGCGTTGTTTCTCGAGATCACGGCGTATTCGGATTCAACGGTCCGGATGAAAGTTAACGAGGACGCGTCCAGGAACCGATTCGAGGTTCCCGATGTGCTCGAACCAGGGCTGGAGTCTAAGGCCGTGCCGCTTTCCGTGATTTCGGGGTCGGCGGTGGAGGGTGACGTGGCGCCTGTCCACCTGTCATTCGGCGAGGGTCGCCGCGCGGTTCTGGCGAAAGATCCGTTCGCCGTACACGTGTACCGCGGCGACGATCTGCTCATGTCGTTCAACGGCAAGGGGCTCTTCGAGTTCGAGCACCGGCGCAACAAGACGGAACCCCCGCCGCTGCGGGGGAAGCCGCGCAGGCGGAAGGCGCAAAGGCGGAAGGCGCGGGGGCGGCGGCGGAAGGCGGGGAGAATATCCTCGAGCAGGCGGTGGAGGGGGAGGGGGAGGCGAAGAGCGACGGCGGAGCGGAGGGGGAGGGGGAGGCGGAGGAGGCGGAGGCGGAGGAGGGGGAGATTATCGGGCATGACGCGGAGGACGAGTCGTGGGAGGAGACGTTCAAGGGGCACTTCGACTCCAAGCCGCGCGGCCCCGAGGCCATCAGCTTCGACGTCACCTTCCACGGCGCGCAGAACGTCTACGGCATCCCGGAACGCGCCACGAGGTGGGTTGGGGAGAGGAGAAGGGGACGGCGTAGAATCACTTCTGAGGCTCCTGGAAGCGCAGCGCGTCTATGGCATCCCGGAACGCGCCACGAGGTACGCTCGGAGGGGAGGAACAGCGACTCGCGCGATGGTTCGGTGTTCCAAGGCGCCTCAGAATGGCCCGAAACGTCACCGTCCACGGCGCGCAGCACTTGTATGTATGGCATCCTGGAACCCGGCGCTAGGCATCCTCTTCTTCCCCCGCTCCTTCTCCCTAATACCAGCCTGTCTCTGCGCCCCACCAAGGGCCCAAGCGTGCACAGCGAGCCGTGCCGGCTGTACAACCTGGACGTGGGTACGTGCACGAGCCACCCTTCGGGCTGCACAGCTCCAATCAACTGTGGTGCCGCTCCCCTCATCCGTACCCCCTCTCCGCTCCCCTCATCCGTACCCCCTCTCCGCTCCCCTCATCCGTACCCCCTCTCCGCTCCCCTCATCCGTACCCCCCTCTCCGCTCCCCTCATCCGTACCCCCCTCCGCTCCCCTTACAACAGCTTATCCCTGCGCCCCACTAAAGGCCCTGGCGTGCACAGCGAGCCATACAGACTCTACAACCTGGACGTCTTCGAGTACCTGCATGAGTCGCCCTTCGGGCTCTACGGGTCCATCCCCATGATGCTCGCTCACAGCGCCGCGCGCACCACCGGCGTCTTCTGGCTCAACGCCGCCGAGATGTGGATCGACGTGCTGGCCAAGCCCGAGAATGCGACCACGCCAGAGGTGAGCAAGTACGGGGGAGTGTGGGGTTCCTTCGACGCCGCAATGCTGCTTTCAGGCGACGTTTGAGTCGACTCAGGTGGGCACCACCACCACTATGCTGGAGGTGAGCAAGTAAGGGAGAGTGTGGATTTCTTTAGACGTCTCAATACTCCATTCCGTCAAGATGCGGGTCAACGTGCTTCTGACGCCCGAGAACGTGACTGTGCCTGAGCCCGAGGTGAGTTAAGATGGGAGAGCGTGACTGTACTGGAGGTGCTGGAGGTGAGGGGTAGAGAGAGATGTGCAGGAGGGGAAGCTTGACAATTCGGTTGAAATATCTCCTTTGGCCAAAATTGCTAAAATTTGGAACGATTCGGTGCGCCTCACACGTGCTCTAGTCTCCCGTCCCTTGCATTCCGCGACACCACCAGGTGACCACTCACTAGACATCGGAGACTAGAGCATCGTACTCACTAGACATCGGAGAGCGGAGTCCTCGACCTCTTCTTATTCCTGGGCCCATCGCTGGCCGGCATGGTTCGGCAGTACACATAAGTCACAGTCACGCTCGCCATGTCGCAGCTGTTGGCAGTGGCATACCAGCAGTGCCGCTGCAACTACGAGGACCACGCGGATGGATGCCCCTCATCCTCATCTCTCCACATTCTATGCTTCCAAACCCTTCCACGCCTTCCGCCCCTCTCCCTCCCCCCCTTTCCAGGTGACCACCTACTGGATAGCGGAGAGCGGCATTCTCGACCTCTTCTTCTTCCTGGGCCCCTCACCGGCCGGCGTGGTGCGGCAGTACACGGCGGTGACTGGCACGACAGCCATGCCACAGCTGTTCGCGGTGGCGTACCAGCAGTGCCGGTGGAACTACAAGGACGAGGCGGACGCGCTGGCTGTGGACGCGGGGTTCGACGAGCATGACATCCCGTATGACGTGCTGTGGCTGGACATCGAACACACGGATGGGAAGCGGTGAGTGAGGGGGGCAGGGGTGAAAGCAGACTGTGGAATGTCGTTACATATGATGTGCTGTCACTGCCGTGGCAGGATGTTGAGCACACGGATGGGAAGAGGGGTGTTGAGGGGTGGCGGATGTGATGTACGAGCGAGCAGTGGTCGCAGGAAGCGGGTGCGTGGCATGAGTCGATTTGTGAGGCGCCTAATAAAGGTACAAGCACTGGGAGCAGAAGCCGATGGCTTTGAGTTGACTCAAAAGCAGAAGCCGATGGCTTTGAGTTGACTCAATAGCAGAGGCCGGTGCATGGCTTTGAGTTGACTCAATAGCAGAGGCCGGTGCATGGCTTTGAGTTGGCTCAATAGCAGAGGCCGGTGCATGGCTTTGAGTTGGCTCAATAGCAGAGGCCGGTGCATGGCATAAAACTGGTCCCTTCCCCCCACCCTCCACCCGACCTTCTCCAGTTACGTGACGTGGAAACCACTTCTCCCACCCCGCGGAAATGCAGAACAAGTTGGCAGCCAAGGGGCGCAAGATGGAGACCATAGTCGACCCCCACGTGAAGCCATATGCCTAGGGGCGCGATCTTAAATTGTTACTATTTCCCTGTGCCCTCCGTACACCGATGCCCATGCCAGGTACATGACATGACATGGGACTCCACTCACTTCCCGCCCGCATCCAGCTGAATTGCAGAACAAGGGGCGGGAGGGGTGAGAGGGCATGGGGAGAGAGGGATGGGAGTTTGCAGCCAAGGGGCGGAGGTTGGTGACCATAGTGGTCCCCCACGTGAAGCCAGACGCCTAGGGGTGTATTGTTTAAGTGTTAATCTCTACCTGTGTTTTCCACACAACACTGCCCACTCCAGGTACATGACTTGGGACTCCACCCACTTTCCCCATCCAGCCGACATGCAGAACAAGTTCGCGGCCAAGGGGCGCAGGATGGTGACCATAGTGGACCCCCGTGAAGCGCGACGATGGGTACTCGCTCCATAAAGAGGCGACCAATAAAGGGTACTACGTGAAGGACTCGAGCGGCAAGGACTACGACGGGTGGTGCTGGCCGGGGAGCAGCAGCTACCTGGACGTGCTCAGCCCGGAGATCAGGGCGTGGTGGGCCGGCAAGTTCGCCTACTCCAGCTATGGCGGGTCGACCCGAATCTCTACATTTGGAATGATATGAACGAGCCGTCCGTGTTCAATGGGCCTGAGGTGAGTCCAAAGCAACTAATATGGGGCACAACACTCTTTTGTGAGGGATTCTAGCAGCTAGGACTATGGCGGGTGGTGCTGGCCGGGGAGAAGCTCCTATCTGGACGTGCTCAGTCCGGAGATCAGGGCATGGTGGGCCGGCAAGTTTTCATACTCCAGATGCGGCGGGTCCACTCTGAACCTCTACATTTGGAATGATATGAACGAGCCGTCCGTGTTCAATGGGCCTGAGGTGCGTGCAGGACTGCACTGACTCGCTGCGTCAGGAAAGGACTCGTAAAAGAGGCAGCCAGCAAAGAAAGCGACCAATATGGGGTGCT